AAAGTAAAATTATCAAAAATTATTTTAAAAAAATGTTATTGTATCAGTGAATTGTACCATGTATAATACAAATATACATTATATGAATATACAAATATATATATAAGTATAAATATATACATATGATACTGTAACTGTATAATTGCGCAAAAAGTCGAAATGTGTTGGTTGTCAATGTTGAAAATAAAAACCTCAAAAAAAACTTTGATTTTTTATTTCTATCCACACTTTTAGAATAAATAACCTCTTATTTTTGTTTTATACTGTTTAAACAATACATTTTTTTAAGATCTTCACTAATTTATTACTGATGTGGAAAATTTTAGTTACAAATTAATTGCCTATTTCCGCCAGACTAGGAGAAACTTTGTTGGGTGCCCGACGATGTCTACTGAATCATATTTCAAGACTTTTTTACAACACGAATAAATAATAAGTCATCATATCAACATTCAATTTCGTTGGAAAAGTATACGATTATGTAATCAATTATTTATGGTTTGACATTGACCTTCATAGTTATTCTAATTCGATCGAACATAATGATTATTATTATTTTTATGAATTTCATTTTTCAACGTAATTGTGTTATCATAAGGTAAAAATACATCATGTCGTTTATTATTATCAAATAAAGTGAAATGTAAAAATAGATCAAATTCATTGTGAATAAAATTTTAAAATTTCATAAGAGCATCAATATGAAAAAATGGTTCGCAAGTTTCTTGTTACATTTTAGAAGAGATATAGTGAACTATCCTTGTTGAGAAGATGTTAACAGATGTCAATAGCTTTCATTGTATAACTTTCACAAATTGGGCGTTGATCGATTCCCTCGCTTTCAAAGTTCCTTTATCTGTATGAACAAATACGGGATGGTGTGATTAACCACACCTACTTTACAATTAAACTGCATGTATAAATGTATAACGAAGACAATTTTCAACAGACGCGTGATTATGTAGATACCTATGGATGCTATAAACAATGCGAAAAATCGTTTGCCTATTAACCTTGATGTTGCTTATCTATGTTTATTCGTTTTCTTCATTTTAGACAGTTATATTTCACAGAAAAACACCTGTAGTTTAAGCTGGAAAATTTTTTCAGACTATTAAATTAGACTTATATTAATGTTACCTTTGGTTCTAGTCTATTTATTGTACTGTGATAAACTTGGTATTTGATATAAATCTTTGATAGCATTAATTTTATGTTTGATTATTTGGAAAGTCAATTTTGTAACTTTTAATGAAAACAATGTATTTGTTGGTCATTTGAAATCTTATAATGTTGTTGTTTGAGTACAAAAAACTGAATATTCCATAGCTTTAGGTATTTTCTAGCATGAATGTATTGCATCGTAAGTAAATAATTTATTTCAAATATACATCCCATAACGTGCTAATTACCTCCACATACAATAGTCAAAGCTAAAGTCTTAGCGACAAAGTATTATGTTATTGTGGCTGCTTTCGGATGGATTTCGTCCAATCCAAAACTAATGTTGGCAAATGGTATATCATGTGATGAAATTTCAAAGCTTAGCGTATCAATGAAATAGCAAAATATGAAAGACATTTTTTATGGAGTTGACTGCACGTGTGTAGGTAATTAGCAGCATCTCATGCGAGATAAACTATTTTTGTAATGGCATACAAAATGGCGGATCAGTCTTCGACAGAGCTTGTTAAGTTTATTATGAAATGTAGTTCATAACAGACAAATTTTGTGTGCACTGCACCGAGAAAACAATGGATATACATATAATATGTAGTGTACGCTGGAAGTACGTACAGAAACCGATTGTGAGCGTGTAGCTTTATACATAGGTATACATAAACACATTAAAACTCGACATACATCGAGCTGGATAGATGCATATACGCGAGTCCTGTTTATGATTGGACTGAGGGTTTCTTGAATTCTCGGCCGCTGTTTGATTTCTTTTACTGTTACCTACACATTACGAAGCATCCAAAGAGAACATGAGCGTATATTTACATGCTTCCATAAAGATTTCAGGCGAAAAATTTTTCTTTCGTGGTGCATGTTATCATGCAATGTCGAAAAGTGAGAATTCAAGAAATCTTGTCAATCGCAACACAATGAAGGGTGATAAAAGTATACAGAGAGAACGAATAACATTTGTTGCCGTAAACCAAAGATAAAATAAAAAGCATTTAATATTAAAGAAATGAAGAAAGTATTTCGAAAGTATTCAATTTATATTATATATAGGGATGCTTTTAAGGGTGACAATTTAGACAAAGTTGACAAAAGAAAGTAGTGTTTATTACATTATACGGAAGTGAAACAAATAAACTGACATATAATATAATCACACAGACAAGTGTAAAATTACTGTGTGCAATTTACAGTTAAGCGTAAGAAAGAGTGTTTATCAATGCGCCTGGCTACTACTGTTGATTTGTAGTTGTACTTATACTAGTAAAGTTGGGTAATCTATTATCCTTCGTTTGAACACAACTCCACTCTGTCATTGTGCTTTGTTAATCATTGATTAATTTCATCGATTGTTTGTGATTATTTATATATGGTTAATACATAACTAACTGTTGATTATTGGAGTATAGAGAATTTAACATTATGATTAAATAAATCGTGAAGTCATCGAATCATTAATTTATGTAGTCGTTACACAATAATTATAATGTTGCTACTGTACAGATATTACGTCTACATCAATTGAAGCAAAAAATGTATGTACATATAAAAAAAACTCTCATCACTCGTCGTTCAATATTTAGCAGAAGATTTACAGTCTCATTCTTATTTGTTAGATGTTATGATAAAACGAAAAAAAGTCATCTACTGTACGGAATTATCTTTTTTGGTTTACCGAATTTGGTCATGAGTTCAAAAATTCATCAAAATTTAATTTTTTTGAGTGATTGCAAAACTACGTTTGAAGATAAAAATTATTATTATTATTATTATTATTTTTTTTTTTTAATAAAAAGTTTTATACATTTTAACTCTAAATGGTTACGTGAGAATTACGAATTAAAGCAAAAAGACTAACCAATTCATAAAAACCAACAAGTTTAATTGAACCATCGTGTTACTTGAATATAATATAGTAAGAACAACACAACTGAGGAAATTTTTTGTGATACTTCTTTAATTTTATGCAAAACATCTAGGGTAGTTTATAGTAATCATTGTACTGCATTATTCCTTAGCGGTAAGCGCCGAAAACTAAATTATCATTAAACGTGTGAATCATTGTTACTAGAATTTAAGCTTAAATAAAATGAATATCTACATACATATCATAAAAAAAACAATTTGCTAAAAACTACGCATATAAAACAAAGTGATAATATGAAAGTAAAAAAAAACTATAAGTTAGTTGATTAATTTTTTCTCCCGTTAATTGACCAATTAATACATTCAAAGATTCAACAAAATGTGCTAATATTTAAACTGATTTTGCATTAAAATACATCACTATCCACATTTATCTGCAGTAAAACATCTGATTTTTCTAGAATGAATACTAAATAAGTGTNAAAGTAAAATTATCAAAAATTATTTTAAAAAAATGTTATTGTATCAGTGAATTGTACCATGTATAATACAAATATACATTATATGAATATACAAATATATATATAAGTATAAATATATACATATGATACTGTAACTGTATAATTGCGCAAAAAGTCGAAATGTGTTGGTTGTCAATGTTGAAAATAAAAACCTCAAAAAAAACTTTGATTTTTTATTTCTATCCACACTTTTAGAATAAATAACCTCTTATTTTTGTTTTATACTGTTTAAACAATACATTTTTTTAAGATCTTCACTAATTTATTACTGATGTGGAAAATTTTAGTTACAAATTAATTGCCTATTTCCGCCAGACTAGGAGAAACTTTGTTGGGTGCCCGACGATGTCTACTGAATCATATTTCAAGACTTTTTTACAACACGAATAAATAATAAGTCATCATATCAACATTCAATTTCGTTGGAAAAGTATACGATTATGTAATCAATTATTTATGGTTTGACATTGACCTTCATAGTTATTCTAATTCGATCGAACATAATGATTATTATTATTTTTATGAATTTCATTTTTCAACGTAATTGTGTTATCATAAGGTAAAAATACATCATGTCGTTTATTATTATCAAATAGTGTATATGTCCCGATATAAATAATCAAATTATATTCTTGTGTCATTGAATTATTGAACAATTTTTACTATTTAACAATAATGAATTCAAATTAAAATTTTTGTTTAAACAGCGTTTTAAATATCTGAGTTGTTCTCTTTTTCTATTACAACAAAAATTCCATCTTTATTTTTGAGTCTTCATAGAAGTACATACAAGTGACCGTGAGAAAATAAAGGTTTTTTTAAGTATCATTCCACATGATTAAATCTTGAAACTTGTGTATAGTCATAGCAAATGCTATAACTAATGAAAATTGTTTTTTAAATGAAATGAATGGTAATGATAAATTACTTACAATATTGAATGTTCGTTTTGAAATGAAAATTTTACTACCAATTTCATCTCCTCGAATTATTTTGTCTTCTAGGTTGTACTGCAACAATTTAATAATTTTAAATCGTGTACCATTACACAAATCGTCTGATATACTAAAATTTCAAATGAACTATTGTTCCTATTTTTAATTTAAGTTTATGAGGTGGCAAGCCTTTACAAATGTTTCAAATTTCTACGGAAAAATTTATATAAATATCATCTGATTTTATCAATACCTTTATACGTTGCATTATCTGTGCTTCAGTTGGTTTTAGTTATTCCATTTGATTTACTTAAAATCTTATTGTTTAAAAAAAAAGTATATTTATTATGTGAAAAAGGTAGGATACTGCTGACGTGCTGACTCAATAATCATTAAAATCACTATAGTACATTATCATACTAGTGCACGGGGTAGGGGATTAACGAAAGCGTGTTAGTCACATAACCTCTCGTACGTATTATGTTTACAACTTTTCGACATAGCGTGTGCGGGGAACGAAGTTTAGAGCCATCTAATGTGGCTTTGCTAAGACCTCGATGTACATACACACTCGTACGAGTAACGTGGGTAGTATAACTTACACTTTACAGTACTCTTACTTTGTCTCGTTTACCTCTATACTTCTCATATCATAAAAATCTAAAAGACAAAATCTTATACCTTTAGCTTTTCATGAAAATCCAGTGGTTTTTATTCTAGTTACAGCTAAATTGGTGTTGAGGTTATATCATTTCATCATCATGCCCAAATACAAGACGAGATTTTTAAGGATTGTTTCCTCGAAATTTTTCACATATACCTTCTACTTTTCTTACAGCGTTTGAAAGATGGACATTTTAAAGTTACTCCTTTATAATCTTAAGTGCATCAGGGTACTTTCTACAACAGTAAAGAAGATGATGAAATTTTCGTAAGAAGACCCCAAAATGATAGCTATAAAATTCAAGTAATGTACATTTTATTAAACTGAGATGTTGTCGACATCTTGATATTCATATTCATACGCAATAGTTTAAAGAAGTTCTTTTAAAGAACTTTTAAAGAAGTTCTTTCCAAACTAATATTTCAAGCACTTTTTTAATTGAACTTTGTTAAAAAAAAAAACAAAAACATTTGTTTGACACACCTTGGGAGATAAGATTTTTCTCAAATGCATTGCAAAAATAAGAAGATATATTTAAATACCAAGTACGTCTCTTTTAAATCACACGGTTGATGTTTTATTGTTAATAATCTGCATGATTTACAAAAACATCAAAAAAACTATTTTTTGTTATTACAGGATAAACTTACGCAGTAAGGCAATATATTTGTAACAAAAGCTGTATATCTTAACATAACACTATAAAACAATAAGATATGTCCTAAAGATAAGCCAGTACAGTAGACAATATGTAGATTTAATCAAAAAACTAATTACTACTATATTGAAAAAGTCTTTTATTTTTAGTGATATAGAAATGCAAAAATATGAGTAATAAATAAAAGTTGGTTTCATAGTTAATAAGAAATTAAGAAGATAATAAACGATAGTTAATATTCCTCATATTCAGATTATATTGACCGTCTCTGTATGCAATGGCTTGAACATTACTTTGCTGCTGGATAAGAGGAGTCAATCATGTTTCCAACTTGGCTTAGTTTTACAGTACGTATTTCTGATGAGGTTTAGTAAAGAAGAAAACCAATTACAAAAAGGAACATTTTTTTATTTTTGTTCATTTTCTTACAGCATTACTTATATTCAGTATAAAAAAAGTCGCACTTACATAATAAATAAATTACATTTAGATAGAAGCAGATTTGTAAATTAGGAAAAACTAAAAATTCTTGATAATTTTCAAATTTGTACAAAGCATAGCACTCTTCATAATACGTGCTAAAATTTAAGCTATGAAGACTTAAAAATACATCGTTTTATGAAAATTCTTCATTCAGTTACGAGATATAAATTAAAAAAATTTTCTTGTTAATTTCTATGATATAATGGTAGAATACATTAACGACAAAAATCGAGTGTAAATCATATTTCTTACAAAATTCCTTCATAAGAGAAGTAATTTGTTCGACCGTTGAAGGCAAGTCGTCGACAAACATTTGAGTCATGAACTTTGAAGTTAATTTAATTTTAAATTTAATATTGGTAACCTCCGTTGCTGGCATAACCTTGGCCTCCTCCACCACCTGTGCCGCTAGGAGCACCATAGCTAGACGATGGTCGACCAACAGAGGTGGATCTATCAACAGTAGAGAAGAAAATTTCATTGATAAATATTATTGAAAACTGCATTAAAAACAAATTTCAAAATTGTGGTTCAATTTACCCGCCACTAAAGCTTGGGGCACCGTAACTTGAGGAAGGTGCTCCTCCTCCAAATCCTCCACCACTTCCAAAGCTTCCAGTGGATGGAGAACTATAAGATGGTGATGGGGCCCCACCTCCAAATCCTCCTCCATTTGATGGTGCTCCATAGCTGGATGATGGTCTGCCACCACCAAAACCACCACCTCCACTGGGTGGAGCGCCATAGTTGGAAGATGGTCTTCCACCACCAAAACCACCACCACCTCCACTGGATGGAGCGCCATAGCTGGAAGATGGTCTTCCACCACCAAAACCACCACCACCTCCACTGGATGGAGCGCCATAGCTGGAAGATGGTCTGCCGCCACCAAAACCACCACTACCTCCACTGGGTGGAGCACCATAGCTGGAAGATGGTCTGCCGCCACCAAAACCACCACCACCTCCATTAGATGGAGCACCATAACTTGATGATGGTCTGCCACCTCCAAATCCATTTGATGGAGCACCGTAGCTCGATGATGGTCTACCACCACCACCAAAATTACCACCACCAGGTGATGGAGAACCGTAGCTAGAGGATGGCCTGCCAACTCCACTGGGAGGACCGTATGAAGATGAAGGAGTACCACCTCCAAAACTACCTCCACTACCGCCGAAGCCACTGCTACCACCAAAACTTCCTCCACCAGTAGATGGTGCACCGTAACTAGATGATGGTCTTCCACCTCCAAAACCATTACCTCCACTAGGTGTACCATAAGATGCTGAGGGAGGTCCACCTCCGAAGCTACCTCCTGAGTTTCCACCTAGTTATTAATTTAAATAGAGTGAGAACTAGTTTTAAATAGAAAAGCTGTTTTTCTTTTTAATGTTCTATGTAAAGATTCAGAACTCGCAATGCGGATAACAAATAAACACGTTACCTGTTGCGACAATTTTAAATGTTTATGCTAAAAGGTAAGACTTTCCATTCCTTCTTGATATTGGTGTCTCAAAAATTTATAAATCACTTGGCATGGCTCTTTATAAGTTTAAAAGATTTCTAGAGTCGGTATTAAAAGAATTATTGATTAAATAACTAATTATTTAATCGAAAAAAGAAGAGTTGATGCACATTCTTGATATTTTAGAGAATCGGATATGTAATAAGGAATTCTGAATTTGATTTTCTGTCTTTTGTTTACGAATAACAATTAATCTTACTCAAATCAGAATTTATATACTTTTTAGAGAGTCAAAGATGTGCGATAACTTTTCTTTAGTCACTGAATTTCATTTTAAAAAGTTGATTATTAAAACAACACCACTTCACGTGGATATCTCCGATTAGTTTACATTAGATGTACCAGTTTTCTACCCTACTAATATGTAGCTTATTTATTTCACCCACACTAATTAATTTTTACTATCTATTTTTACACAAACAAAAGAATGGACACACATTCTTCTCATATCGAAAAAATAATTCAAAATTGTCTTCGATTAGTAACTTGTAGCTATTTATAAGCAAAGCTCATGGGAACAGGAACAAAGCTGGAAATTTTGAAAATTATAAGAGCTAAAGTTCATTGTAATCTATTAATTTAGATGATTTTTTATATGAGACTATGTTAAAATTGAAAATTTCTTTTCATCATTTCTCGCCCTCAAAGCATCCTGAGGTATTAAAACTTTACAGTGACTATTTGTATAATTGAATTAACTTGAGGTAAAATTTTCATAAAATCTTGTAGGTTAATCTATTTACGAAAGTACTACCTTAAACTGTAATTGTATACACATCAAATAATTATATTTACCATACTTTCAATTTAACCACATGTTAAAGCAATACATTTAAACACGTAACTTTATCACTGAATGACAACTAGTAGTTATTCTGCCTGAATTCTCTTGATTCTTTCAATTGATTTCATTAAAATTTATCTCCGTGAATAATATGTTAAAATAACTAAATGTGCGCTTGTACAAAAATTATTTCATAATAAAAAAAAACAAAAATTTACCGCCAAAAGATGGAGCTCCGTAAGACGACGAAGGAGCTCCACCTCCGAAAGATCCTCCTCCAGTTGATGGCGATCCATAACTACTTGACGGCGCACCACCGCCAAAACTACCACCACCAGTTGATGGGGTCCCGTAGCTGTTGGAAGGAGCACCACCGCCAAAACTACCACTAACAGTTGATGGGGCTCCATAATTGTTTGAGGGTGTGCTACCGCCAAATGATGGGGTTCCATAACTGTTGGAGGGTGGACCACCACCGCCAAATGATGGGGTTCCATAACTGTTTGAAGGTGGGCCACCACCACCTGATGGAGGTCCATAATTGTTGGAGGGAGGGGCGCCACTGGGGTAACCACCTCCCAAGGATGGTGTTCCATAGTTTGATGAAGGTCTGACACCTCCACCTCCCTGCGATGGAGGTCCATAGTTACCCGACGGTGGGCCACCAGCAAATCCATTACCACCAAAACCACCACTACTACCACCGAAGCTTCCACCGCCTCCTCCTAGATTTGGTGTACCGTAGCTCGTCGATGGTGGAAGGTAGTTACCAGAAAGGGGTGCTATAAAACATGTTTGGCTTATTTTTTTTTACTTAATAGGGGTTTCACATTTTCAAAACTATGTTTGATTGTTGTTTAATTTCAATCTTACGAGTCAACTATCGGTTTTCTCCAATAACGATCGATTGGCGTTTAAAAAGTATATGTTCTACAAACCAAACAATTGACGTAATTTTATTATATATATTTATTGATGGGCTAAAGAGGCTATTGTTTCTGAAAATTTTGCTTAAAAATTAGGTCCCTGAGTCTCATTTTATGTAACTGGCTCGATTTGAAGCGAGATTCGGAGACTCGAATAAAAAATAAAATTTATCACATGGACTTTCTACTTTCAGTGATCTTCCGGCCTCTGTAATGACTACTTGTTGTTACCGTTGTTATTGTCATTAAAAATTTGTTTTGCATCAATGTCAAGAAAACCATATCACAACAGAATAAAAATCAAGGAAAGAAGAAGCCCTGCAATAACCCACCTCATCGTTTCATCTCTCATCACTGGGAGATAATCGATTGGCAGGGTAAAGTACGTACACGGGCACATAACGCACGTTAGATTCTGCTCCAGCGCGTAGGGTGATGCTCGTATACATCAGGGCCTTAATTTACCGTAGATGCACTTGGCGTTGCACTGATGGGAATCGCGATATGAGTTGTGCAATGCGGTAATCAAAACTCATAATAGAATCTCGTAAGGTCTCAATTAAAATAACAGTTTTACGAGCACCGACCGTGGAACAATCAGTTGCGGATAATTACAATACCTCTACTAAGCGTGCACAACATCGAACGCTGGCACCGGATTATATGTTATGTGTACGCTCGGAATTGCTTTTCGCCGTTTTCGAAGAAGTCTTCTTTTCTATTCCATTATGTCTGTACTTGCACGAGACGAAATGGCTAATATGGAAGAAAAAATTGTTGTCTTTGCTTGGAGCTATTCGTGCTCCGTTGGTGCAGTGAAACCGGAATACAATCGGCGAACGCGGTGATTGATGTTGTGAAAATTTTATGGCGAAGCCCTCCTCCCATGTTTTCGCACTCACCCCGGTAGGTGCGATTGGGAAATCGGCTTTTCAAGCGTAAGTGGAGGATGGGGGGCTTTTGTTCAGCATGAGCCGCCGGGAAAATTCAAATCGCATATTACCTATAACCGAGCCCGCAGTCGCGACGCTAATTACACGTCCGCTGAGAGTGAATCTCCCACACTTTCACTCCATGCGCGACGCGACGCTACGAAACTCACGCGTGTGGCACTGCATAATACACGCGGGCGCGTGAAAACAAACGCGCGCACGGATGCGCAATGCGTACAGGAAGAGTTGTAATTTGCAAGCGTGTCGAGTAACCGATATTAATTGAATTGCCGGGTGTCCCTTGTCTGTCGCGCCCAACCTCGACGCCCACGTGCCGGCTGACTCCCGTGTACAAGTTCGGCGGCACGTATACCTTTGATGAGGGATTCTTGTGTCGAGGTGGCTCGCTAGCGTTAGCTTTTATTTGCAGACGAATAAGACGAATTTGTTGGCTGGGTGAAAAAATTTTACGTAAATGGTCGACAGATATACTTTCGCTAATGAAAATGGTAGTGCACGTTTATAAAAGTCGAAAAACGCGAAACGATTTCCTGTTATTAATTCTCGCGGAGAAAATTAAAAGTATCGGGAAAACTAACGGAGACTCGAGAAAAAAAAGAAGGGTTGGAGCCAACGGCTGGCAGAATGATGAATGGCTCCGGCGCTCTAATTGACACGGTTACTTCGAACTTCCGATAATTGCCTTCTTACAAGATGTCGAGTAAACTTAACAGGTTGTACGCTATTCACGGCAAATTAACCATTAAGGAAGCCTATCGTTTTTATGAAAAGTATAAGGGATGTGTTGCATGTGAAAAAATATCCTTTCATAAAATCATGTAAGTGAAGAAAGAGAAACAAGTAAAGGTAACTTTTAACAAATCGTTTTTTATTCTCAGATACGAACTATTTTCAAGAAGACTTCAAAAGTGTAAGTTATGAAAAACCATTTCCATTCGATTCGTTAAAAAAGCGGAGACTTATAGATCAAACACTTAAATTTTAAATAAACAAAACCATTCAATGAACGTGTAGGATAAAATTAAAAGTTGGTCAAATGCTGGGACACATGGTTTTTATGTATACAGTTATTGTGAATCCGAGAAAAAAGCCAAAGTATTCAGATAATCACCCTCTGCGCGTGAGACCGACAGGGTTGTGACAAGCATCGCCGCCATCGGCAGCCACATCTTGGAGATCCTCATGCTGGTGGGCGAGAGTTTTTAATTATTATTATTTTTTTTTTACCACGCACTCTAGATTGCTTCGGATTCGGAGTGAAAAACGAAAACCAACAAACAAACGAGTAAAAAACGAAACTATCCTGTGCAACACACTGACACGCACCCGCGAGCAGCAACAGAGCCGAGTAGAGCTCTGGCTGCGATTTCGCTTCCAACACGGCCCCAAAGCTGGCGAATCTTGCTTTTATAGCAGACGCGGATCTTTCGGAGAAAGTCGCGCCAAGGAGCTTCGCGGAGGACGGGGACCGCGGTACAGGTTAGTGGGGACCCCAGCAGGCCCCCCCAGGCTGCATCCGTCAGTACCGCTCTCTCGGTGAGCGCGTATCATGGGTAGCCTTGTTGCGAGCATAAGCAGGTAGATAGGCACGCCGAGATGAAGAGCGAAAAGGATGCGTCGTCGTCGTCGTCCTTTTATCGAGCCGACTACGTGTAATGGGTGTTGCGAGCGATTGCTCACACCACGGGCTGCACTGTTGATCTTTTTATTTATTTTTTTTTTTTTGGTAAATCTGTCTGGAGGAAGAGCCTGCTTTTTTCTTCTCACTTTCTTCGCGGTACTTTTACTTTCCACTAAGCAGCACGTCACAAGGAAATCGAAACTACCTAAACATTTGAAATTTTTATTGGCAGTGTGTTAGAATCATGTACATGGGAACTACACTGTTAATTTATTTCCCATTACGGTACAAAAATATTTCATTTGTATTGATTGTTTGAAAAAAAAAAATTTTTTAAGGTATAAACTAAGTTTTTAATCTTTATTCATGTTTGTGAATATGTTAATTCTTTGACCATACAACATACATGGGTCCAACATGTTATTTTCCAGATGTGGTTCTGCGCCTCAACAAGTGAACTGAGATATTAAAGTAGCGTTATCACAAATCATCAATAGAAAAAAAACAGTAAAAAACTAGACAATATTTTCTTTTGGTTTTTATTTTAGATTAGTTAAGACAGGTACATGGTTAGTTTGGCGGTGTTTAAAAAAAATCAATGAAATTTAATTGGAATATTGTTTTCAACGAAATAAGTTCATACCACGACAGCGATACTATTTCAATGTTTTGTCCTTTTCAAAGACACCATTGAAAAAACAATTGTGTTAGATTAAAATTTTTATGAAATAAAACTGTACATAATTAATTGTGATTAATTATAAAAATAATTGTTTAAAATTATTTCTAATTTACTTACATTATAGAGTTAACGTTGAAACTTGCGTAAAAAACATCTACATAATTGTTGGAAATTTTATGATTCCATTGGTAACAAAGAAATGAGATAAAAATTCTAAACAAAATTTTCTTCTTTTCGAGTTGTTTAATGTACTTATGAAATGAAAAAATAAATTTAAAGTATTTTTTGTCAATTATTTAAGTAGTTACAATAATTTAAATCGCGCCAAATTGCGTCTAACGTAACTAGCTTTCTTAAGGTAATTCATGCAGTTCAATGTTTCTCAACCTACTTGTAAAACAGTTAAGCATTGATTTTTCAAATAATTATTGTTGTTTATCGTGAATGAATACCTCAGTAGCCTGATCAACTGTTACATCATAACAGTGACAAAAAAAACTGATAATTATGACTAGGTGCAAAAGGTTGAGAGTAATTTTACCGCTTGAATAATTTTGCTCATAAGATGTAGTGTTTAAACATGCAAATTGAAAGTTAAATATCTCTAAAAGGGCACGCCAATTTGGCATCAAAATTTAACCATGAATGTACGGGTGTGTCAATAACTTATACTCCAATTTTCATCGTTTTTGTAAAAAAGTTGATTTTTGCATAAACTACCTTAAAAATATCGAAAAATCCTACAAACGTACAATTTATATTATCTATTAAATATTTAATAAGAAAGCAGATGGTTTTGTCAGATGCTCAGTATTCCTGTAATGACGCACAGCTCGTTGCAGTAGCAGCTCCGTTTGACCATGGTTCAGTTGTGTTACACATTCATATAGAATACTTGAACTATAAAACATAATTGAATTTTTTAATTCCAATATTATTGGTTGCTTGTTTCAGTTCCATGCGTCAAGATAAATCTAATAAGACAAGAGATAAGTTAGAGATACTTTTTATTTTTTATTACTAAAATCAATAAAGTTTTGATTATGCCATCACTACTGCATATAATTTTAATTCAGTATTACACTTCAGTTCTTCTATTTTAGTTACTATAATACATGGAGTCAATGTACTGTGGTCCAGATGTACACGTTAGATAAAATCAAATAGATGATACCTCAAGCTAAATATGAGGTAATACGACAACGATAACCCCGTTGTTTTGATGTAAACATTAAGGAGTATGTGTCTACGAGCAATCACGAGATGTAGGAGAATCAAAATTTCGAATGTAGGTAATTGCAGATGGAAAGCACTAAAGCTGATTACATATGTTACGATCTGATAATACTTTACTTCCACTTATCATGCTCGTATGATTACTCGCGCTTTATTTGGATCGAAAATTGCTTATTCTGCCGATGCAGCCTGTATTTGTTAGTCACCTTAGGGCTCAATAAAAAAAAATTGTTTGCCTCGCATAACCTTCATGTATATTGTGAAACGTTTTTTCATTGTTTTTAGTGGGCAGTTATGTTATTTTCGTCAGCACCCCAGTTTACAATCAAAATGCTATCTGAGGGACACCTTTTTTAACACCCTC